GTGTTACAGAACTCATATCTATGGAAGATATTGAGATTTCAGGCTTTCTCAACAGATGGCCAATTCATTGTCTTGAACCCTCAGGGTATGTGCTGGACTATCGGGCTAGTCAGCCGCCTAGCCTTTGCAGATCCACTCAAGCGAAACTCTGACGTCGGCCGTGCACTTTCCCCCTCATCGTTACTCCGCAATTTGATGTGGTGGATGTTCTCCGAGCAAGGGAAAACCCCGGCGGGACCCCTGAGACAACTTGCCGATACTGGAGTAGTCTTGGGTTCCTGATCCAGCCACAGCCGTCCCTTGGTTCTTCCCGGCTTATCTCTCTCCGGGATGTCGCTGCCACCTTCGTCATAGTTAAACCGTTAGAGTTTGCCCCTGTTTCTCTTTTGCTCTATCGTTGATTCCGAACCATCCTAAGTCTGCTCTTTTCATCCTTTGACTGCTGCGCCTACCGCGCTATGCGAGACATCATAGACTTAGACCTCAATCATTATGGTTCATGCCGTTTATGGCGATCGGGTGCAGTGTTCCTGACGCTTCGCTACCAGCACAGCTGCTTATATCACTACTGGCGAGTCTCTCTAGTTTCAGTCGTCGCCCATTGTACTTGCATGATCGAACCAGACCATACCCTTTAGACTTCAGTTGAATATAGCCGCACCCCTCAATCCAAGGACCGGGAAAGTCGACGGTTACGTTGATCTCCCACTTTCCAGGCGTGACTCTGTCTTCACTCCAATTCGGCGACACCACACAAAATCTAGAGTAGAGCCACAACCGATCCTGACAAGTTGAAATGAAGAATAACCAGTACTTCTTGAATATAAAATAGCCGTCACAATTATATGATCCTCAACCACTCGTGTCACAGGCCTTAGCCGCAGAAAATCTACTATTCTAAACCTCGAAATGGATCATACTAGCAGTAACTTGTACATACATTGCACACCGATAGACATCACCAGGGGTTCGACACCATAATAGCTTAAGCTACGTCAGACTCTACCACATAGTAATTTTGGGACTTAGAAGTTTTGAGCTGGTAAAGAGTTCTAATATGGGAAAAAAAAAAAAAAAAAAAAAAAAAAAAAAAAAAAAAAAGTCCTACATGTTCTATTGCGCAAAGATGAAGATACATATTGGCATTCAATATTTCACACCGTCATGAATACTATATAGTACAAGAAGTTATAATGCGGATCTTAGGCTCAATGGTTTCGTACGACGAAAATATACCCTTAACGCAAGAGCTAATGATCGCTGTAGCCGGATCGGTAGAGGGAGCTCATCTTAGCTTCACCATAGGCAATACGCCCTGGTTACTAGACTCCAGCACCACGGTGAGGTGTGAGCTCATCGCTGGAGACCTGATCGGGTTCGATCAGGCGGCCGCGTCCACTGGAAACCTGATCGGGTTCGACCAGGCGGCCGCATCCACTTGAAACCTGATCGGGTTCGACCAGGCACAGGTTCCTGCTGGGTTCTTAATCAGGGACGGGCGCTTAAACAGAATCAGGTTTCTACCACGGGGGAGGGGGAAGCAAACAGCCAGGATAGGAACAGACCGATGGGAGCTGACTCCTTTTCCTCAAAGCTGTAAATCTTCGACATCTCAACCACCAGCAGATCGTCAGACATGTAAGCACAGAGTATCCTTGCATGCCGTGGGTTCACAAGGGAAAGAAGGAGGAGTGGAAATTTCTGCTCATTTGGAAAGGCTGGTGCCTTCTCACCAACTACTTCATCAAGCTCTTCTAGATCCATTCGAGACAGCTTCTTCATCTCCTCTTCGCTTCCTACTTCAGGCTGTATGGCACGATCATGCATAACAGAAACAATCACTGCAAGCTCCCCATACAAAATGGAGCCCTCTCTAGCTTGCGCTGGCTGGGAAGCAGTCAACATAATATGGGGGAGTGCTGATTTGATTCGCCTATCCGGCTCAAGGCAAAGATCGATCTTCCAAACATCTTCGAAATTGGGAAAAGACCCATACGATCCGTGGGACAACGCGAAAGGATGAGGGTGACTGGAGATTTGAATGTATCAGTGATTGGACAAGAATGGTGGTCTCTTAAGATTTAGCTGACATGTATTGTACTCACCTTATGTGCCGCACTTTGTACAAGTCCGGTAAGCTCGAGTGCAGGCCACGGCCGACTCGAGTGGCAAGAGCCAACTCACCGAAGAAGTGGCACAATTCATCGGACCAATCAGCCTTATCAGCCACCACCAACCCGTATCTTTCTGCCCAGCTTCTCCGAATCGATTGGTTATAGTCAGGGAAGAGAAGCTCGATTAGAGGAAGGGAGTCGTGCGGCAATAAATAAGGCTGCTGGATGAACGGCACCGGTGTTACTGGAGAGCCCGTAAGGTTCGCTTCGATATCCCAAGAAGAGATAGAGATTTTATGTTCATGAAGGAACGATGGCAAAACATCTCCCTCTGAACCAGGCTCATTTGAGACAAAAGACACACTCTTAGGGCCCTCGACTTCTCCAGTAACAATGTGGTATAGCGAGATGACTCGCTCACGAACAACGTTTTCAGTCATCTTAGAAAAGGAATCTGAAAGAATAGAGATGATACTGAACCAAAGGAGTAAGCAACTTGACGACTTACTGTAGTAGTAAGTTGCGGGTGGTAGATGCGCGAAGTGTGGTGGACTGAGGAAGGCAAAGAGAAGAGGAACACAAAGCAAGGCTACAATCATGTGACAGAGTATTCAATGACAAAAAATGACCTAACCTTCTTCAAATCCACTCACTACCCAAAAGTCGATAAGTGAATATCAGCTTCTCAGGACAATCCTAGGGTCCATTACCGAGGGAGTCAAACGATGTAGATGAATATTCACCCCCCGGCCTCCTGCAGAGGGCTATCTAACAAGCTTATCTTTTTCTTCGCGCCACTTGAAGCGGTTGTATAGCTTTTACATGGAAAGTTTTCAAGTAGTCGCATGTCTTAACAAAGTGACTGTGGATAGGACGTCTGAATATCCCCCATAATAACTTCAGCTGATTCGCAAGACGAGCGTATCAATATTGCCCTTGATATCTTCCTGCCAAGCGTAGCCCAGGCCCCCTGCAGAATTCTGGAACGCGGCCTACCCGCCAATTCCAATGCCATCAGGGGCTATCCATCGCTTCTGATAGTTAAGCGACCGTGACTCACATGCGACTATCAACCAATTCAAAAAGGGCGGCAGGGACTGCTAGCCATGAAGACTAGTATCGATACTGTAAAATGATGACGATGCTAGTTACCTCATCCAGCCGGAAAAGTCGAGGCCCCATTTAGAGCTAAAGTTGGTCTTCGGGGGAGTATTCCGATCTTGTGAAGGCCAGACCCGGGGTATCGCCAATAGGCCATGTTCTCCTTCACATGGTCTAGAAGCTATATTCAGCTGAAACTTACAACCTTATACCTTCATAGAGTTCTACACCACCATTCACTCTTACTGCCGTTGGTAAGATGGAGAGACACTGGTTCGAAGACGCTCAAGATGTCACAAAGTCCCTCGAATGCTTGACGAATTTTATCCGTTCAGTGGTGGTCCTTAAAGGCAGCTTGATACACCAAGTCATACTATTCATGAGCCAAGCATTTTTACACCGTCCTTCATCGGGGGACCGATGAGCCAGATAAACACACAGTGTGGCCATTCGTTCAGGACGCAGGTCCTATATCCTCACTGGCGTGAAGGCCGAGCCTTGCAAGATATGCATGTCCTTAGCGTCGAAAAGAAGAGACGGAGAAGGAGGAGGAAAGAGAAAAGAGAAAAGGGAAGGAAAAAGGTACGAATCTGCTCCTCGACCTCGCAGACCAGTTTAATGAATTATACCATCTGTTCTGCAGTGCTATGGCAGTCTCTGTTCTGAATCTTGTTCAATTCATTGGATCAAGCAAATGAGGCAGTTGACCCTGAGAGGCTTATGGCAGGTTGTTCAATCCATTTGAATATTGCATGCTGGAACAGGAGTACTGATCATGGACAACGCTTGAGACCAATCTGAAATCCAAGAGGGGACGACGAATATATTTACCCTTGAATCACCTAACTCAAGGGAATCCATCGAGGTGCAAACTTGGTAAGGTATACAGTCAGGTCGGTATATATAGTTTTAACAGAAAATAATGTGTTGTCTACTCTGGGATATCAAGCTGGAACCGAGATAAATTAAGTAAACACGATCTGTAAGCTTGTACCAATTCTCCTCTCCACACGAAGCATGCCATATAAAGGAGCCGCTTCAACCCGGAAAATTGAACTATAGCTTAGGATCTTTCCTATCCAAAGAAGAGAAATTCATAATTTCGAATATGCAACTACTGACCCTGCATTGCAGTAGGTAATCCTTTCATCAAAAGTACGCATTAGGTGAAGGGAAGAAACCCCCCAGAGTAACCTGGGTCGAACGGTCATGTATGTGCTGATTTCTTGCATGGGGTAAATGCAAGATGGAGATATGTTTGTGCTTACCATCTGGGCCTTCTTGTGAGTATTAGAAGTCTTCTTATTTGTTTCTCCCTTTCCTACTTCCGTATATTTGCCGAGAGCACAGCACCACGCCAGCCATTGCAAAATGCTGGCTATACTGCCGGAAATTTTACTATCCCAGTGTTCATGGCTAGAAGGATATATCAGAGCCATTTCTTTTCTTTTCTATAAATTATTGGTAGATCCCACCCTCGTAAGTCGAGGTGTACTATAGTAGTATCTATCCCAACTGATTGCATTCTATCAATGTAATTGGCTATACGCACACTAGGTAACTTTCGCACATACGTCGCAAATGGTCCAAAGTACAATCTATCCACACATATTCATTCCACTGTAATAAACATAGAAAGAGCTCATCTTAGCTTCACCCATAGGCTACTAGACTCCAGCACCACGGTGAGGTGTGAGCTTATTGCTGGAGACCTGATCGAGTCGACCAGGCACCCCGCATCCGCTTGAGGCCTATGCAATATAGGCCCAAGTTTCTGCTGGGATTTTAGGGAGAGGTGGGGGGGGAGGAGGGTGGGGTGGGGGAGGGGGAGTTGGCCCAGCGGCGAGGGGTACCGTCTTGAGTATCAAGACGGTTCAGCAAATTCCCCAGCGCGTCAACCTGGGGGCAGGAGGTACCCTCAGATTGATTCTCGCAGGCTGGGGAGGTCGCCCTCTCGGCATGGCCCATGTCATCCTGCGCATCAGTCTCAAGAGACTCATGTTCGCGGGATGGCTCGATCGCGAGCATCTCGACATCTTCGATGGCGAGCTGGTCGTTTTCGGCCGGGGCTTGCCGCTCGCCACGAGGACGAGTCCTCCACTCCTGCCGCCTATCACGCGAGCGCCGCCAGCGGTGGTTATTCTCTCGCCTAGCGGCCCTAGCCCGGTTGCCTGCTGGGGCGTTTCCGCCCTCGGCGGCCACGGGCGCAGGGCGCAGGTTTGAGCCTCCAGGGGCTAGCGCATTAGCACCACCCCTGGCAGCACGAGCACGAAGACGTCTCATGCGGCGTCGCTGGGTAGGCGTCTGGGCAGCAGGGGAAGGACGAGGTGGCCGAGTTCCTCCGGGGCCAACATTGGGAGGGGGGGGAGGATGGAAGCCCGCGACGGCATTGCCCTGCTTTTTCCAAGGTCTCAGCATATGCCTCATTTAGATGCTTGATTTTGTTTTATGATTATTCTTACCTGAACTCTGTTCGCATGGAACGCCTCGACAGAGAACTGTGCGCAGAACATAGCCAGAGGGCAAGGCTCTCCCGGATGATGCAAACCACATCCGAGCTTGCAGGCCTCCGAGTCCACCGGGACGGTCTAATGATACTCAGCAGCGTTCAGTGAAGGTGGTCTTATATTCAGCACTTACAACGCGGTCAGCGGGGGGCTTCTTGCCATCTCGGCCACGCCGACCACCGCGGTTTGGGTCTTCACCCGCTCCAGCAGCAGCAACGACGGCCGGGCCGCCAGCCCACACACTTGCTGCCAGTCCAGACATGGCAGAATAGGGTCGTTCGGGGAAAGGGGGGGCAATCTCGAAGAAAAGCAAAACAACCTGAGGACTTCACAAGGCGATGCCGTAAAATGGAAGCAGGTTATGGTGGGAAGAGGAAAGGGAAGAGAAGCGACGGAAACGAAAATGAAACACGAAAAGCGCAAAGGCCTTGGGGCTTGCAACTGAATCAAACAAACAGAAAAAATTTTCATAACACGAAAGGAGAAGTAGTGAATGTATCTATGTAGTTTCGGGAGTTTTTGTTGATCTTGTCCTGCTCGGTTTTGACCTCTTCCTACGAGCCATAATTGCATCCAGCATCTCGTTTGGCTGATTCGAATCTATTTTCTCTCGATAAATCCAGATCACGTTAACAAAATGGCAAATGATAACTTGCCTACCAACAATATAGAGTGGGATCATCTCGCCAGGAAGTATAAGGTTGAGAAGCAATCCTTACGAATGAACCTGAAGCTGCATTCCGCGTCGAATGTCAGCTACAAGCAGTATCTCCTTTTCAGGACCATCCTCCCCGCCATTGTCCCCAAGATTCGGTTTGATCCCCAGCCTCTTGGGATTTCACACCTAATGCCAATAGCCGACCAGATCCTGAACCGTCCAAAGTTCGTTGACTATCTCGCGAACATCCCCGCCTATTGGACGCAGCCGAATGCAACATGGGCAGGTGAAGACTTGTTCAGGACTGCGGCTACTTGGCAAGGACATGTGAATTACGAACAGAGGAAGGTTTCGCGCTTTAAGGGTTCTAAAGAAGCCAGTGTCAACGCCGCCTTCCTCTCCTTCTTAACCGCTATTGCGGCGCTTCTCGATCAGCCTATTAGGCGCCAGTGGTCGACTGGCAGAAGGAAGTTGACGGCAGACTTTGGCACCCCGCAGCGTAAGCGGCAATACGTCGCTTATACTGATGGCCAATTGGAGGAGGTCTCCAGTCATCGGATTTTGGCACTCGTCGAGTGTAAATCTGGGCCGCGGGGACGACATGCTCCGGGTGTTGATATGCAAGAGGTAGCACAGCTGGTGGCATGGGTGAAGCAACACCCCGCTGGGCCAGGGGCTAATAGACGAGTACTCCTGTCTAAAGATGGCCTTGAGCTTTATATCTCTGTTTTTCAGTACGGGCCGGGATGGCTACGCTATCTCAATGGAGGACCCGGTAGTATTAAGCATGCTGGATTTGCCTACATGCAAAGATACGGCCCCTGGCACATGTTGAACAAGGCTGATTTAAGGGAGTTTGCTCTGATTGTTATCGCCTTGCTATTGCTATAGCTTCTCAAAGACCCATGTTTGTCCCATCGCGTGGGGATTTTTGAGGCGCACCCCTCTTACACTTCAGAAAGCCCGTTGATAATTTGCCCGGGCGCCTGTGTCGAACCACGATCAGGTCTCTTTCGCCCGTTGGTTGACTATCCGGGCGCCTGTGTCGAACCACGATCAGGTCTCCTTAAAGAATCCGTTGATATTTTACCCGGGCGCCTGTGTCGAACCACGATCAGGTCTCTTTCGCCCGTTGGTTTATTATCCGGGTGCCTGTGTCGAACCACGATCAGGTCTCCAGCAAAGAGCTCGCACCTCACCGCGGTGTTGGAGTCTAGTAGCCTATGGCGAAGCTAAGACGAGCTCCTTTAAGTACAGTAGAATATATGCGTTTGGCTCGTATTCATACACACTAAATATCTGTTGGATAATGGTTAACATCTGGCTTATAATACGAAAATACATTTCGCCTTTGCATAAACTCATTCTTTGCCCTCATTAGCTATTATAGTGAAGCACTACATTACAAGAACAGTACAAGCTCAACCACTCTCAATTCTGGCATTGCTCACTTTCCAGGGTCGCTAAAGGAAGATTGCGATAATTTCCGTTCTTGAGGCCTTTATCAATTGATCGTAGCCTTGCTTTCTGTTTGTTTTCTCTTCACCTTCACCTCGCACCTCTATCACCGCAACTGACTACCAACGACAAAGTTTCCCCAATCTATTCCTATGTCTCACAGTAATCCCTCTTTTCTCGGATCCTTTTCACTGTAAGAGAAAGAGATGGTATATAAGCAAGTGATATCGCTGTACCTGAATGTTACCAAAGGAGAGAATAAAACCTTCACATTGCCTTACGCCCTTACTCTCTAAGAACCGGTTCAGAAGAAGATGTCTTGGCAAAGTTTTTTTCTTTCTTCTTGGGGGAGGGCAAGCGAGCTTTGGGAATTTTGCTTGGGTGCGGATTACTGCTTCAACATCAGATATCTATACGTACAACCAGCCACTAGTTTCCACTCGATGTATGGCTCCCATTGAGTGAGCCGAGAAGAATCGTACACGTACAGGCATGCGATAGCTAGCTATCTCTACCGCATGTATAGCATTATGGTATAGAGCGTCACCACTATTTGTTCTGTAAGAATTTCTTGACATCATGGAGACTACGTGTTGCGAGTCACTTTACTTGGAGGCATCCAGCCCAGGGTCTGCAAAAAAAAAAAAAAAAAAAAAAACTCGGCTTGTATATATCTGCCTGTTTGGTGGCTTTGGGAGCCATCAAGACGTCACTCGTTTGGACTACGGCGCTGGGAATCCTTGATGCCAGGCAGGGTGCACCCACGTATTCATGCGGCTGCCTTAGGGTAAAGGAAAACTAGCTACAGATAGCTATTTATTTCGTGCTAGTTGCCTGGTTGTCGTTATCACCATCTAATATCGTGGATTCTGACAGCGGCAAATACCCAGACTATCTCCGACTCAGGTCGATCAGAATCTCGGATGTTGGTTGAAGCTTCTGCGCGCTACTAAGCGACTATCCCAATTTTGCGTTCAGCATACTTCACTAGGTAGGCCCGCGAAGGAGGAGCCTAAGAGAGGTCATAGCTTAGATGAGGGTAATTCTTGAATATGAATTTACCCCTAGCATCTCTCACTTGTGATATGTACGGGGCATCTTTTTATGGGGGAAGCTGTGAGAAGTCGTATCTTTAAACGGATCGATTAATCTGTGTGAACCACCCCCTAAAACGATTCGGAAAGTCACCTACATGTATGAATCAAACCCAACATTGTTCAACAACGATAAGACATTTTATTATACCTTTATTATACCATCAAATTCCTCATGGTATTTTCACTCTGATGTCGACCTAAAGCAAAGCAAGTCCTGCAACATTCTGAAGACGACCAGCAGCGCTGCCGAAAACTGCCCATTTTGGCTAGGATATTCTGAGCAATTAGTGCAGAGGATCGAGTTAGCCGCGATTCGCCATCAGTTCGAGATGGCGTCCATTCTAGTCGTCTCTCTTAAAATGATTTCTATCCCGAAAGCATTATTGTCGGGACAGACCTCTTCGTCTGCTTTTTAAATAAGACGCGATATATTGCTTTCGGTCTCCTGCTAGCGCATTGGCAGTACATGCATACTGGCACTACCGTCCGATCCTGACGAGAAGTAAGCTATGCGCCTTCGGTGTTTCTATCAGGTGGAGTAGCCTAAGTAACTAAGCTGGACCGCCGCACGCAGAAACTGTGAGTTTCACCATGCATTCTCGCAACTCATTTTTGGGCAAAGAAGCAGACTATTGATAGTTTCAGACCTACCGAAACATATTCATGTGATTTTTATATCCGGGGGGTCAGCTGGGGCCTAGTTTTGCCTCCCACTGAACCGCAAGGAACGGATCACACTGATAATGAATAATACTTTAGCTTCTTATCTACAGTCCTTTTTTCGTTTGCTCCGAGTTAGAGTAACTAACTATTTGGAATGAATGAGTAGTTGTTTGAATTTATTTGCGCTTATCATCGGGGCTTCATCTTGTTTCAGGCGTGGGAGCGACATTTCCTCAAACAGTCGTTTAAGCCACCACCACAGGGTGTGCGAACAGCCAAGACATGAATAGATCGAGCGGAGCATGCTGCTCTCTCTCGAAGCTATAAAGCTTCGACGCGTGAATGATCAGAGCATGTGTATACATGGAGGCACAAAGCAGTCGTGCATGCTGTGGCCCCACAAATGAAACAAGTAGAACTGGAAACTTCTGTTCATTTGGGAAGGCTGGACTCTTCTGGGAAAGATCTTCAAGCTCTTGCTCATTCATATCAGAAAGACCTTCTATCATCTCTTCACTTTCCACTTTAAACTCCTTGACGCGACTACGCATGATATTAAGGATGGTAGCGAGCTCACCACACAAAATCGAACCATCTCTGGCTTTCATTGGCTGGTAAGCCACTGCAGCAATATGGGGAAATGGTGGAGTATCGCGAATCTGAGGCTCAAGGAAAAGACGGATGCCCCAGCAGCGTCCTGTAGATGGACACGGTCCAATTTGTGTAGCGTAACTCATGAAAGGATTCGGTGGCCTAAAGATTAGCAAGCTTTAATGACTGAACCAGTAATCCAGCTGGAATATACGGTACTCACGTCATTTTGCGTACTTCGCAGAAATCCATCAGTGATGAGTACGGACGGTGGAAGACTCGATTGGCAGTGGCATATTGGGTAAAAAAAAGAGCAGCCTCATCGGAACAGTTCTCTTCGTCGGTCACCAACCACCCCTTTTCCCGAGCCTCGTTTCTGTCGGCCAGTGGGATGTAGTTGGGGAAGGGAAGATCAGAGGTAGTGGGGTGGGCTTGTAGAAACGACCGAGAACGCGGGGCGAACTGTACAGATGACGGATATTCAGAGCTTGACTCAATATCCCAAGAAGATACACATATATTATGTTCTTGCAGAAACAGCGGCATGATGTCCCCTTCTGAGCCAGGCGAATCAGAGACGAAGGGTGTACTATGCTCTCCTCCGACCACTTCAAGGTACAGCGACCTCAGTATCTTCCGAACTTTACTCTCCGCCATCGTGGATGATGGTCAGGAAAAGAGGTCTGAGCCAGATTAAGTAAAGCAGGTAGCCGATTAGTTCCGCGGATGGCAGTAGAGTGTTTGGGAGAGGGGGAGGGGGAGGCGCGGTTAGAGAAAAGGGAACAGAAAGCAAGG